CGCAGCTAGAACAGCCAAATCAAATTCAGCTTTTATTATTAATTGATAACAACCAGGGATCAGGTGAAAGTGAGTAAACTTTAGAACATGCATAACATCTTAACTCGGTATCAGTCATTTAAACTAAACTACATGTACAACCAGTCGATACATTAACATGTACATGGCATGCACATACATGTAGTTACATGCACCACTTACTAGTTTACTGTCTCCTAGAGCATGATGAATTCGTGCAATAACTCTATATATAATAATACAATGGAATATATAAGTACTTAAATGACACCACTCACTTATAACAGTTTGCTATGTTGACATTTAGTGGCCCAAAGACTTGAGCAAACAATTGCACAGCTCCAGATAGATGGTCAAGAGCAACTTCAATATTACCAGACTGCAACTGAACCTGAGCCAACTCATACAAACCAGAGGCTTCAAGAGGCTGGGGGGATTGAGGGAAAGAAAATTTAAGATAAAAAGAAAATTAGAAATACAATAAAATTGTTGAAGATTGAAGTACACATACATGTAAAAGACAAAATATACCATCGATCTGAAAATTTTTCACTGTGACTTTAATTTCACTTGATTAGAATTCCAAAAAAATTACATCACCTATATAATTATATGCCACATTCCATAATACATGACACAGTCTTATTTGGTAAAATTAAATAACAGCATTATTTAAAAACACAAAAATTTCTACCACATAAGTTCCCTAAACTACTGTATATATTGTGTAGCAAAAGTGACAGTACAAAGCAGTAATAAATGAAGTTTTGTCTCACTTTAAAATCAGTGTACTTAACAACAGGTACAATACAGGCAATATCATCTTCATTGAATGGAGCAGTCAGGAAAACTAGTAATCCTTCAATGTAATCTGTACTCCTGATAAGGGGTGTGGCCAATGAATATTGATGCCATCTAACCTGTTTTGTTACAGAATTCCCTGAGAAGAGAGACTTTGCTAACACCACAAGTAGTACACATGTGAGTTACAGAATTACTAGAGAAAGAGATAGACATTTAAGTATATGTACATCATTAAATATTGTTTATTCAGTTATTATTAGCTTACTATTCCTATGTGTACAGGAAATGCTGAAGTACATCTTCCACTAACAGTTTCCATAACTTTCCTTGAGACAAGTCAAAACAAAATATATCATCAACGTACTGTATGT